GGAAGGAAGGAAGGAAGGAAGGAAGGAAGGAAGGAAGGAAGGAAGGAGAAAGAAAGAAAGAAAGAAAGAAAGAAAGAAAGAAAGAAAGAAAGAAATTGATCATCCTTTTCTCAATACAATTTACTTTTCTTAGACTATGGTGATAAATTCATTTGTTAGAAAAATTAGATATTTTGCTGCTGGTTGTGTCAATGTTTTTCTTAATAAAGATACAAAGATCTGATGTTGGCGATGTGCTGATGCTCTCTAGTGTGTTACTCCTCTCAGTATACAACCTGTACAAGCACACACCTTGGTTCCAGGGTTTGGTGGTTAGTATAGAAAACTCATGAGAAAGTCCTTCCATTTCTGTTTCTTAGGTCCTGCCTATGGAGAGCTAGGTGGAGCTGACCGTCTGTGGTGGCAGGGGTAATGCTCTGATACATACACCCAGCAGAGGTGGAATCCTGGAGGTTATAGGGGTCTCTACAGAGTATCTTGAAATATCCATAAAATATAAGTATTTCAGTCTTTATCAGGCATTATCTTATATTAGGTCCAATATTACAAGTCGAATCAAGCTTTGAGGATTAAATAACTATGAAAGAAAGACTTAAACTTGAGAAAAATTCAACCCAGTTGTTTAGTTTCTCGATGACAACTAGGTAAAGTGCTCCTTTTAAAGCAGCAGAGTATTTCAGTCAAGTTTCTACATGAGTGGAGGTTGATCACCTCCTTCCTCCTTTGAGGCAAGGTCAAAATCTTACCATTTGACTTAACCAGGAGCTCCATTTCCACCAAAGGAAGAAAATAAAAAGGTGAAAGCAACCACGGTTGTCACTGGTGCTACCCATATATATTCTTTTTCTTCTTCTTCTTGGGCATATTTTAAGATTGCACTTGAAATCAGGTACAGCTGTTAGACTTGTTTAGTACAATGAAATGTAAATAAAAGTAGCATGTGCCAGAGAAAACTCTTCAGGTTTGGCCTTCCATTGAGGCTGACTCGGAGCAAAGCTCCCAGCAAATGGGCATGTACTATACAAGAGAAATAAACCTTTTAAGCCACTAGGCGTTGAGAGTAGCTTTCATCAGAATCACTTGAAGGACTTTTTAAACTGATTGCTAGGCACACCTCCAGAGTTTCTCATTTAGTACGTCGGTGAGGGATGCGAGGATCTCTCGCAAGCGGCCACATGATGCCAACGCTGTTCACCCAAAGTCCATGCTTTGAAAACAATCACCTTAAGCTATCCTGACTGAGGCAGGGAGGGTCCCCTGATTTATGTCAGTGAATGTAAATGATGACCTTGCATTGGTAAGTTATTCTATGGTAGACAGGTATTTCTTCGCAGTAATCCTAACAACTACATTGCGTTCATATCATTCATTGTACAGATTGAAAACTCAAAACTTCTAGAGCTTTAACTATTACCCAGTCTTAGTAACTGGCAGTGTTGAAATCTCAGCCTGCCTGATAATAAACATTAGGCTTGTATTAATCTATTTTTATATGATTCAGACTATTTTGAAGGTGTTTGATCACCTAAATAATGCTAAGTACTGGGTTTGAGAACATATTCTTATTTAGTAAGATTTTACTGAGTTACTTCATTTCAATATTTTATATATATTTTAGGATAATTATGTTCTTTCTAGATGTGGTGGAGGCCCCAAAGATGAATAAAGTCCCCTACATTTTCATAGAATTTGCAGTGTTTTAGAGTATCTCAAAAGCAAGTCCGATTATAAAGGCATTAGGACAAGAATAAACAAAAGACTATGGGAGTCCAGAGGAGGGAGGGATTCCATCCAGAGAGTGGGTGGGAACCTATGAAGTGAGCTGTAAAAAGTGATGGGTCTTTAGAGCAAAGTGAGAAAGAAACTGTACAATTGCAATACTGAGCTACACATCACCACAGAGAAGATTGGTTTGAGCCATATTTTTATAATTTAAAAAAATCCCTGGGACACTTTAATTCGTTAAACGTTAATTAATAGATGTATTGAGTGTTATGGTAACGATTAATTGAGGTGATGCTGGTGCTGGAGGAATAATAAGGAATTTAAAGTATTATGTAGATTTTCTCATAGGTTATTTTCCTATGAGACAGTTAAATATGATGGCAGTGACAGTACCAAGTTCCAAATGATATTTCTAAGTAAATTGTTTAAATCCTCAATCTCGTTGTATTTTTTTTTTAATCTGAAAATGTAATAGCTAATAACTTTAGAAAGTTCACACAGATGAAAATGATTTGTGGAGGTAGTGATTTAAAATGTGTTTGTCCCCAGTTTGGTCCAGTGGAGTAACTTAGTAGCTTAGCATAAGCTGGAGAGGAGCTAGAATTTCTTTTGGAAAGGATCTTCTAGCATCTTGTGCCTTCCATAAAATAACTGGCACTTGTTAAGAAGCTAAGCCTTGCCAGAAATAAATGGAGCTGCTTTTTTGATGCTTTTTTCACACAAACATGTCACAGGGAAGTCAATGTGTCAGCTGTCTCATAAAGTTGATTGGGTTTTGAATCTCACTTTATAGTAATCGCTGGCTTGAGGCATGTCCAAAATGTTGTTTTGAAACTTCCAATAAAGCCACAAGTTGACCGTCTATAGGGACATTAATGTGAAGTGCCCTGACTGTTTTTTTCTTCAAATCTTCTCCATAATATTCCTCCCTTGAATCACTAACACATCAGTAACTCTAGGCTGACAAGTGGGGACTGTGAGAAAGTAGGTGGATGTCACTCAGTAGAGTCTAGACAACGATCCCAATATGCCTGCTGCTGGTGAGAGAAATGAAGTCATCAGAGGTGTGGACTCAGCACTTACTCCATTTGGATTAGACTTCACAACTCCACATTTTACTAGGGAAGCCACAGAGAATTATTTCTGTTTGAGGAAATGAAGACCATGTTGGACTTTGGATTTAGACAGACTCTTGTCCAAATCTGAACTTTACTACTCACTAACAAGGCATCCTTGGATAAGTCCCTTAACTTCCCTAAGCCATGGGCTGTGAAGCTTTGTGGAAGAGATAGATGTGGAAGACCTAGAATATGGAGGTTATTCTAAGATACCAAAAATCCAAAGCTGCATTTAACATAAGATTGAAAGGCTCTGACTGATGTGGACATTCTGATGGGATGGAACTGGACAGGAAAGTTAATCACTTCCTGATGAAAATTACATTAAATTCTCAGGATTTCCCCTTCTCACATGAATTCACTGGATCTTTCCCAGGTACCAAGGTTTCCATTCCTGTGTGTGCTTTCCACTTAACCTACATCTTCTAATGTGAGGCTGAGGATGACACTCCATCAGAAGTGTGTGTGTGTGTGGGGGGGGGGGGGGTGTTTTAATATAGACATCTAGACTCCAAAGCTCTGGTCTACTTGTTTTTGTTTTTTTTGTCTTTTTTTTTTTTTTCTAGTCAGAATTCATAGTAAAATGCTACTAGGTCTTAAGATTTTGACTCTCCTTACAGCCAGTGTGTTTGCATTTCATATTTGTAGGAAAAAGTTTTCCAGGCATATTGAAGAGCTCTGGTTACTTAACTACGCAAGGGGAAAACCTATTACTTAGAAATTAACTCATCAGATTTTGAAGCCATGTCTTCTAAAGAGT